AAACCAAGAATGCCCCCTCTGGTCTGAAGACTGCGTCCTCTACAAATTCCAGCAAGATGTTGGCAAACCCAGAGTTAACTGATGATCTTTGAGGGGTTTGCAGTGTTTCATTTTAGTGTAATTATAGTGAGGATGAGACATGAAGCGCATAATTAGTTTCTGGCATTTTGCTGCACCATGGGAGAAGGAAAAAAATCCTCATAGCTTAATTAGTCCTTGAGAAATCAATGGTTGAAATGCTGGGGGAGGAAAAAAACCCCAGATCGACCCTTGTTGCTTTAATCAGGGAAATGTATCGGTTCATATATGTCCGTGTCCCTTCACATCGTTGCTCTGATACGACGTACCTGTCTGGCGAACACCGGGCACCTCATTGTTTCTTGCGCTTCAACACTGGCTTCACTCCAGACTGACTATTAACATTGCAGAGAAGCTTCACCCAGCAGAGGGAAGGTTCATCCGTGGCTGTTTCTTCACTGTTTTGTTCCTGGGCTTTTGCTATGATATCTGAAAAAAGGTACTGGGGTGTGTTACTATGGCAACGCCGGATGGAGCTCCGTTGGATTGTGGCTCTGTGTCAAGGTCTAAGCCTCCGTGTAAGCAGAGTATGCTTACTGCGTGTTAACCATGCCTACCAACTCACCGTCTCTCTGTAGGCTGTGTGTGCAACGTTATCACTCGCCTGTTTTTTTTCTCCTTTATGAGACGTTGAGCACAAATTCACATTATTCATAATTAGTCTTCACAAGAGAGTGAGGTAGTCTGCCTCATTTATTCACAGCATTGGCTTATTCGGGCTCTAAATAGAGACGACGACATTCTGGATGATTATGTAACTGAGATGTTTACTTTGAATTTCCATCCATGTTTTCTCCAGAGCCGTATGCTTTCATTACAGATACTGGTTTCTGAGAGTCTCCTCCATAATCCATTCTGGAGTACGAACATGTTGCCAGCTTCCATGCAAACCCTTTTCTCTGATAAATCTTTGGTTCGCTCTGATGCAATCAGCATTCACACATACAGACGCATAGTTCCTCAGTGCTTTGTTGGAATCTGCAAAGCGCTTTGACTTCAGTAGAAAAATATAAATAAATAAAAAGCTGACTGGTGGTTTATGAATCTCTCTCTCTCTGTATGTTATGCAACCAGCATCCAACAGGCTTTGAGAGCCCGTGCAAAAGGCTGGGAGAATCCCCAATTTGCAGAGCGGGCTAAAATCGACTTAAAAGCGTGGAAGTGTGGCTCAAGTGGATATGTACTGCACGCTGACACAGGAATAGTGTCCGACTATTAAAAAGAAAAGATCTGGGGCCCCGCCCACTTACAGCTCCTCTGATGTGTGATCTTTAGTTCTGTGGGCTGGTTTAACAACACGATTTCCAACTTGTTCTTACTCAGTCGTTCCAGGAGTGCACACATCTGCTGCCTTCAACATAATTTTCCTTTTTTTTGGGGGGGGGGATACATTTCACAATCATTTGTAGACCTTTTTAAATGTGTGCCTTTTTTGAAACGGCTTTTGGCATATTTTTTTGTATTCATGAGACATCGTTTTCACTCCCAGGGACATCTCTAGCCTCACAACTTTCTCATTTCAATGTTTTTAATCTCCACAGGATCGAGAACCCTTCAAATGATATGCAAAATCTAATTTACAGCGTGGTTCTCCCATTGGTGTAGTCTTTATCTGCAGCCAGCTTTGCTAACGGCAAGGAAAATCTATTTGGGCTACCAAAGAAATGAAGAAAAGGGGAGAGAAACTCAAGGCAGTATGGGTGCTACGTTCTTAACTTTCCACCAATTTTTCTGGGATGTGACTTAAAGCAGAACAGTTTCGGAGTCACGACACATTTACTGGATTCTGATGTTTATCTCCCATTGCTTCCTTTCCATCCTTTTATCATCTTTTCTAAAATTAAGTCTATTTGTCTTAAGAGATCATTTATTACAATTAGCCGGAGAGTGTTTGTGAAGCAAAAGTCGGGCCTTTTCGTGACTCATGGAAGCGCAGTGATAGTGGCGCTGAACTGGTTCCCTCAGCAGCTGTGCATTTGACACGCTAAATGGCAATTTCTCGCCCACATAATTGGCCCCAGAGAGACCTGGTTTCCTGTCAGCATGTGATCCAGGCAACACCGTGTTCAGCAGGTCTAAATTGAGAAGCTGCACTTAAGTTCAGATGCATATCAACAAACTTTTAAGAGCCATACATTTCAATTGCTTTCTTCTTCTTCTTCTTTTTTAACTTATCAGTGGGTGTGAAATGTGTCTGCTGTCTTTCCTTTTTTTTGACAACCCCCTGGTGGTTGGTTTACGTTCTAACAGACAATTTACACTTTGATTAATTGACTGGCTGTGGAGTAAACTCTTGGAATAAACATCTCTTCCTTTAGGTGGACGTTTCAAGAAAGAAATTGTGGTGGATGGACAGAGCTACTTACTTCTGATCAGAGATGAAGGGGGGCCTCCAGAATTGCAGGTAGGATCCTTAAAAAGGTCTCTTTAATCAAAAGCTGCTGGGTAGAAACTGTCAAGCTGACAGAGCCTGCTTAGAGACAGACCATTACTTCTACAGGACTGTTTGGAGCACACAGCACTCTGTGGGTGTTCTAACAAAAGCAACAACGGATCGATGCAAAAACCAAGTCGAGATGATTTTTGTGGTCAAAGAAACAACGCCTAATTATCTTATTAGTATGCGAAATCTGAAGAGTTATGGTTAATTTTTAGGAGAAAATGTGATGTTGTGACACGTGTTATGACAGTGCAGCCATCAAAATCTCATCTTCGATTATTTGTGAACCATGGAGGGCCCAATTTTGAGCTACTGCAGGACTTTGGGACATTGGCTGTCTCCAATTTATATACTTTATCCAGTCTAAGAAACTATGAAGCTGAAGCATCAATGTCTTGATCAATCATCCAGGTAAGGAAACCCCAAAAAGTTTATTCTGCTCATCTCGACGTAGCATTTTCGGTGGGAGAAACATTTCATCGCTCATCCGCGTGACTTCTTCGGTCTTAGCTGACTGCAGGTTTCCCCAGCCTTCCCCAAGAGTACATTTGCAAAAGGAAACTAGCACCACTGGCAAACAATCATCATGATCAAAATGCTACGTCCAGATGAACAGAATTAACTTTCCTTTGTAAAGCATGATGTTAGAAATGTAGTAGAGAAGTAAGAAGAACATTGTCATGCTACTTTCTTATTTATACTTGAAGTAGAATAAGTAAATCCACTTAATTATGGGAGTGCCTGTGATCACTGGCACTGTTTGTGTCAGCAAAGCATGATATTTGACAAATCTCCTTGTTACACCCTGTTTCCACCTTCACTCCTACAAGGCTCTACTCAGACCGATTTCCATAGATGGGAGGATCCAGTTTCCCATAACCAATCATGAGAGACTAACGTGCCCCCCACCCCTCCCCACCTCATGAATGTAACCTAATTTCAAGTCCACCTTGATGCATACTAATGGCACCACACTGTTATACAGCTGCATAAACCGTGAGTTTAGCCTGTTCCTTCGTTTAACTGCTGTGCCTCAGGGGTGCCGACAACAAACATGCACTGGCCATTTAAATTTAATATCGCTGTTGTGGCACAAAGCTTGACTACAGCCCATGGCAGTGATTGGGTAATTGGCACTCATGGGACACCTGTTTTTGTAACTGAAAAACTGCTGTTTCATGACGTAATGTCCGGCCAATGAACACGTCCAAAGAGCTTGACTCATTCAAAGCTGGCGGAGCTTTACTTATAAACTTATCTGAACTGATGACTTCCTCATGAGGTCACAGAGGAATGTGACGACATCTACGGTACCTTTTTGTTGCCTAGCGACCGTAAGCTCTCAAACACATGAAGCAAGGGTTGGGAAAACAAGGGGCAGGGGTCGTCACACTCATTACTGTACAAAGTCGGGCTTCCAGCAACACAAGTTTGAAACATAGTGTTTGATGACATGGACAAAGAACAAATATAGATTCCTTAAATTTTAGTGAGATAAGAAAAAAAGTAAAGTTAACCCTTATGTATGTTTTTTTTTCCTTTTGCTTGCGTTAAAATTCCCTTAAGGTTCTTTTTTTAGCTTGAAATTTGATGACTTTCTTAAAGTGCCCTGATATGCCACATTTGCCACACTTCTGGTCTTTAAAGGATTATGAGGCAGTCTCCAAAGACTGTCACAGTTAAACAGCATAGGAGTGGTCAAAATTGACCAGAATTACATTTTTAAATAATAATAATACAACAGAATAATAAAAAGTCCAAACTTTATGTCCTCCTTAACATTTGTACTTCATATGTACTTCCCATCTTCCAAAAGTCATCTAATGGACCGGATTGAAGTGTTCACCGGGCTGATTCTGGCCCCCGGACACTCCTGTCTTAAACCAATAACAACATATAAAAGGGGTTAGGGTTGGGAAAAAATCACACTGATGTAAAGGTCTAAAAAACACATGTCAGATGTGATACACTTGGCGTTACAAAGTTAATACATGCTTTGTGGTCACCCATAATTACAAACTCACAGTTTTAACGTTGGTTCTGCTGCCCACTTCTTAGACATTAGGATTCACTCTTCCCATTCTCACCAGCATGGTTTCCAGCTGCAGCAGGCAGCTGTTTCAAGCATAATCTGTGATAAGCCCAGTGTATACTAAACAGCCCAGCACTAAACAGCAGTTGAGCAGTGTTAGCAACAAACACACATGGGCATATTTAGCAGGTAGAAGGCTTTATATGAAACAGGACCCATTTGCCTGGTGATCAGAAACAAATTAATTGACTTTTTATGTTCACAGGTTATACTTATTGGCCCCAAGTTGGCTAGTCGCAACATCTTTTTATACACTGAGTAATATGTACTCAGTTACTTTGCACCCTTAAAGTAAATAAACTCTCTCACGTGAGTCTTTCTTCTAACTGCAATGTTATTAATATTTTCTGTTGCTAAGCTTACATAGATTTGATGAGGGATTTAAAAAGATTCAAATGTAATAATCGGATTCAATTAAAGGCCCAAGTATCAAAACCACCAGCCCCGGAGAATATAGACGAACTTGCTTGTGGCTTCATTCACAGGGTTCAGTGTTTCCGGTGTATTTACCCTGCAGTTGTTTTAGCGGCTAGTGATGCCTGGCTTGGCAAAGCTCCGATTTACGCTTGCATTACGCTCGGCGAGATTAGGGAATAGAAATGAGTGCAGCTCAATTGTCAGCTGCCTGTGTAATTACTGGCATAATTAAAGGCCTCCATTATGTTCCCACTCGCAGGAGGCTGAGCACAGTTGTGGTTTGGAAGCTCGATTTGCCATTCAGTCCCTGTGGGGGTCTGGGCAAACGTAAAGCTGAATAAAGAAGAGGGCATTACAGGAGAATAGTTTGTCACTTGATTGTCACCGTTACTAGTACTGTGGAGTCATCGTAGCCTATTTCCTGCTGTGGATGTTGAATCAGATTGATTCGCCCTGTTGGATCATAAACTATCCAGAAATTCTGACATATATAGAGATGACACAGAAAATACACATTTTCCTGTTTTATGGTAGCTGTGGGGATAAAGAAAGCAGATACGGATTCAGTAGTAATCATTATTCATTCAGTCTGTTCACCTTGGTCTGGTATCTTGTCTAAAAACACGTTTCAGTGTCCTAAGATTGTTGCTACACTGCCCCCTTGTGTAGATATACATGAAGTACAATAACAGTAAAAGTGCTGCAACCTATTATAAGGTAAAATGTATTCATAAAAGCTAAAACAAATAATAGCTTTGTGCAAATTAATTTGTGCATTAATTTGCACAAATTAATGCAAACGTTAATTTGTGCAAATGTTCTTGTGGTAGCTTTATTTCTTTAACACATTACCTCTGCTCTGCCCTCAGTTTGCTGCCTGGGTGGATGCCGTGGTTTTCGTTTTCAGCCTGGAGGATGAGATCAGTTTCCAGACGGTCTACAATTACTTCTTGCGCCTTTCCAGCTACAGGAACACAGCAGAGGTCCCCATGGTCCTCGTTGGAACACAAGGTGCTTGCCCTGCATCTGATATGTATATACAAATGTTCTTTATTGCCTCTTACATAATGAAACTATAGCTGTTATATGCTATTCTTTAATAAGTGAGGTATATCGAATTTATATCTTAATGTCAACAAAAGTCAGGAAAAGACCAAAACTGTTTTTGTGGTTTGAGTGCCGATTTGTTTTTGTGCAAAGCGGACTTCTGTTGCTGTCCACAGATCATTAAAACACACCAGCAAAGCACACTGTTGCACATCAGTACCCATCAGTTTTGGAAATATGGAAATATGTAGGCGTCTTTCAGATTCCGATTATATATTCGGGACTTCTCTGTGGGGTTTATTTTTTGATGAAAGCTGTTGACACTGGGTATTGCCAGCTTCATTCATGGAATTAAATGTTTGATCCACATCTTTTTTTCTTATTGCTCTCTTCTGCTAGATGCAATCAGTGCTGCCAACCCCAGAGTGATTGATGACTCACGGGCCAGAAAGTTGTCAAATGACCTGAAGCGCTGCACGTACTACGAGACCTGCTCCACCTATGGCCTGAATGTGGAGAGAGTCTTCCAGGACGGTGAGAGGGGGTGTTTTAAAAGTGCAGATAGGTTAAACAGGAAGGTGTAAAGCGTAGCTTGAATGTAATGACGTTTTATTTTACAGCCCACTTTTAGTTTGATATACTTAGTAGGTTGTTTATCCTGCAACGCTTCAGTCAGTCGAAAGAGCAAACACTTGTCAGCTAATTTTAGAATAAACTAGTTCTTCAAATGTAAGGATATATGCTTAGGAAATATGTTGCAAACTTTGGATAGGCATTTTACATTTTTGCTGTTTGTAATGACCTTCATCTAAATTGCCTTATTCCCAGGTTCCATTGCAGGCAAAACATTTAAATTAGTCTCATTTCAATTCCACTCTCAGACTTCCACTTAGGATTTCTTGACAGTTTCTTGAAGAAACATTTAAATTGCAGTTTTTCAAATACCGGATTTTGTGTGAATCCGACTAGGATATGCAATCTTGTCACCTCCTTCCAATTTTAGGAAACACGGTCCAATTTGGTCTAACTTGTATTTGCAAAACTATGAGCCTAGTAATTAGTGTAACCCTTATATTACACACTCTGGAAACTGGCTCAAACTGGCAGGGAGGGCATTCACAGAAGAGTTTTTCTCAAAACAAATGTAACTTAATAAAGCTGAAACTCAGAAGTCGGCATTATTAGTGTTAGTTATTAGTGTCCTGTTTGCTGTGGAGGTGCTGAAAGGTGCAAAAAAAAAAATGAAGGGAACAGGAGGTTTGAGGGAATAAGCACATTTTTATAGCCTGGAAGGTCCAGCTGCCAGCCTGCCAATGTCAGCCAGTTTCCCCTTGATGCACAGCCTCCACGGTGTGATGCTGCTCCCTCACATGGGGAAATGTTGGATCAACTCAATAAACTTGGATCAACATTTTCCTTGCTTTCCCGTGTAACTTTGTAAAGACTAGAAGAATTTGTGTCGAAATTTCCATAATGACAGTTGTTTCTCTGTTTCTCTTTACCTCAGGCTACATGCAAAGTACTATAATATTTCACATTCAGTAACATATGATTGTCAGTACTGCAATTAGTCATTGTGGAAGTTAGATACATGATCAAGGCTCGCATGTAAATGTGGACTTCATTCAGTTCGGCATAAATGGCGGAAAATCACCATCTTGTATATTGTCTCTTTTTCAAGTTTCTGGAAACTCTTGAGTTTTTCCCTGAATCCGTAATTGAAGTCATGAAACTGTTATTTGGAAACTCGGCTGCTTCAACTCTGGCACATTTTCCCCTCGGGCGGCAGCTCCTTTGAAAGGCTGTCATCCCTTCAGAAAACATCTGAATATGTAACGCTGTGTTCACTTTGCATTTAACTGACTGTTGATGCGCAGGCACGTTGTCTCCCCCCCTGCCTTAATTGCTTCCTGGAGCTCAATTTGAAATAATTAAAAGAGATGAAGGAAGCGCTCGCTGTCTGGAGAAGTCGTCCGGTATCACTCGCACCCTCTTTCTGTATTTGCCATGCTGCAGCAGGCAGCCGGGCGTTATGGTCCCAGCTGTCAGCACGACTTCAGATCATCTCCCCTTCCCTCAATGCTAATTTACGTCACACAGCCCCGAACATCACCTCCCTCCTTCGACGCCTCGCGCTCCACCTAGTTGCGTGTGCAGCAAATTAACGGTTTACGCCACCACCAGCATAGCCAATCAGGCTGTTTCGCGTAGTGACAATAGTTCCATTTGGCTAGCATCACACTATAGAGCTCCATGAATGACAGAAAAAAATTAAAGCAAGTGTCATTTTGTATGATTACTTTTCTTGGTAACAGAGGCACCTTATTTTCCCAGGACACATGCATAAGCAGTATGTTCCTTATTACCTGCCTGGAAAACAAATGGCCTGAGGAGGTTTAGATAATGTGCGTAGTTGGGAGTGCTAGTTTTCTTTCATTGCTTTTAGCACTCTAGAAAGACTTTTTTGGCATTTGAATTGCATTAAGACTGAATGTTGTGATGCTGTAGTCCAAATCTACAGCAGTCACAAGGTGAGATGCCTGATGTAGTTTTTCTACTTCTACATCTCTTGCTCTAATGCTGTTGAGCAATGACTTTATTGTATTATGCTGTAAAAGATACCCATTGTGCCCATATGAGGACATACTCTTTTTTTTGTTTAATAACAAGAGGATCTATAATGAAGTAACAGCTTCCTGTTCAAAGAGGAAGTTGGTTTTTATACTTATCAGGTCCAACTACTTAAATAACTGGGAGAAATTTAAAAGAGCATCTCAGACAAGAGCTCGAGTCTCAGGAGATTCATAGTGAGTGAACTGACCTAAAACCCCAAAGTGTTCTTCAATTTTAATAAATATAATATTTTTGTGTTTGATTTTATGTCTGAATCGAAATTAAAAACAGTCAGTTTTATTTGTCAGTTTTTGTCTGTAAAACACAAGGATGCCGCTGACGTGTGCTGATTGGTTGTAAATATTGTAACCAACCTATCAGCCGACGCATTCCCTCGATGGCGCTCAGTTTTGTTCAGTGACCTTAACAGACATCTGAACTAAAACCACTGAACTAAAACAAAACCTTTTGTGTCAGAAACAGCTGACACAAAAGCTTTGGTTCTGTTATGTCCCTAAAACTTAAAGTATTTTACTAAAACCTAAACTCCATAAATGTTAAACATAATAAAAATTCATTTTATTTCTGTTTTTACTCCCATGAACATTATATTTTTTGGCATATTTATTCTGGAGTGTCGCAGAGACCACCTGTTAAACCTGAAGTTGAAGAACGGGAAATCTCTGTCTAAGAATTCGTTGAGGTTTCCCACTGTTGCTCAGCAACCGAGCTAGTCTACATCATCACACGTGATCCTGGGTTTCACATTCTCGCAGTGTAACCCACTAAATCCCTAAAAACTCTCCCAAGATTGGCTGACCGGACTAGTTGACCGTATCTTGCTGTGTGTTTGCCTCCAGTTGCCCAGAAGGTTGTGGCCATGAGGAAAAAGCAGCAGCTCTCTATTGGTCCATGCAAATCACTCCCGAACTCTCCCAGCCACTCATCAGTCCCCGCTGCATCGATCCCCTCTGTTCACATTAACCAGGTAAGATCCAGATATTCACAGCCCACACTTAAATCCTCCACGTGAATATGTAAAAAAATCTCCAGTTTATGTAATTCTTCTCATGGTGATTGGTTGTATTGTTAGTGAGTGGGTAATTTTGTCCACATCACATTTTTCCTAAATTGACCTGGTTCTGTCTCCCCTGTTGTTTTTTCTTTTCCTTTTTTCTTTTTACTATCCTCTCTCCTCCTCTTTCCTCCTGCTTTTCCTCTGATTCTGTCGGTTCGTGTTAATCCCTCTCGCTCCCCAGGCGGCCAATGGTGGGGGTGCGTTCAGCGACTACTCCTCCTCCGTTCCCTCCACCCCCAGCATAAGTCAGCGGGAGATGCGCATTGAGACCATCGCTGCCTCCAACACGCCCACGCCCATCCGCAAGCAGTCAAAGCGCCGCTCCAACATTTTCACAGTAAGTATGCGACAGCTGATGCAAAGCAACACCCACTCACACTACTAGGAGGCATGTTGCCGAGCGCACTTTTTCCACCAGAGGGAGACAGGTAGCTCAAAATGCATAAAAAAAAGCCACCTCTCCTGCCTCCAATGCAGGCAAAGACAGTGTCTTGTTCACACAGCACAATGGGCAAAGGAGAAAAAGACAAAATAAATCTCATTAAATCCCTGAAATGCACCAAAAAATAAAAAAAAAAAATAAAGAAATAAAATGAAACCTTAAAGCAAATATCAAAGATAAACACTGTGGAAGAAAAACATTAACTCTGTTCATGTCCTTTTTCTTTTCTAATTGGATGTAGTGAGTGCACATGAATTAAGTTCCTCATCTCACCCATAACAAACTGGGCCCTCTGCGCTGTCTAAATCTTTGACCTCCCTCCCCCTACCCCTCTTATTTTTGCTAGATCCTTTCTTTGCAGTGACTTCCCTTTTGGGGGAGAGACGGCAGCGACAAAACCGCCAATGCCACTTCTCCTGCCCCGATCAAGCTAAACTTTAAAATCCCAGCCAACCTGTGGCCCGTTTACACGCTGCTAATAATGCATGCTGGCACCCTCAGCACCCCTGCTTCAGACAGAAAGTGCTCTAACTGGCCACTAATCAACTTGCTGAGTCCCCATTTTACATTTGATTCCGATCGCTAAGATTAACTACCACACCAGTATCCCGACACCCCTGTCTGCCTGCTCTTTACCCCATGTCCTGTCACATTTGCCCTTTGCCCTAACCGATAGCGTATGTGTGCACTAACCACTCTAATTTCCTTAGCTGTCCTAAGCTTGTCTTTTACTTGTAGCCTCTGCCATGTTTTTCTACCCAGCCTGTTCCCCTTCTCCCCCTTTTCTCTTCCCAGCCTTCTTCTTTGCTGCTAAGCCTTTCCTAAACTCGCGTAGCCGGACCTGGGCCTCCTTAAGCTCAGGGAGGTCTGCAATAAAGTACAAATCAGCAAGCTTTAAAATCAGTACAAACAATTCTCTAAAGTTCCCTGGTTGGGGAAAAACAAATTCCCCTGGGAAACCAGTGTCTCATTCACATGCCATCTTTGTATCCAAGTTTTCAATTTTTTCTCTGCAGAACTTTTTGAGCTTTATGAGACAGAGATCAGGCTATGTTAGATTACCCCTTTCCCTCTCCCTCCCAGTCATATCCCCTTTCTTTCACCAATCTACCTCCCTCTCACCTCTTGCTGTCACCTGTTTCCCATCTCATTCCTATTTCCTCTCTCCTCTCTTTCTAACCAACTCCTTCTCTAACCCTCCCCGATCTATCCCTTCCCCTCCTCTATTTGTCCTACCGCCTTCATGTTGTTGCCCCAGCTGCTGGGGAGCCGCAGGTTTTGTGGCCACCGAGCAGTACAGGCTGTGTGCTAGCTCCCCTTGTTGTCTCCCTTCCCCCCCGCTAGGTAGTGACTAACCATGTCCACCAGAGAAATGAGCCTCTCCCCGTCCGCGTCATGGAGATGCCGAAGCACGCCACCTACCCAGTGTGGGTGCCAGAGTGGCAAGCCGAGCGGGAGTTTCAGCTCATGACCTTCTGAGGAGCAGCGAGCCGAGGGAGGGAGGAGGGAGGGGGAGGGAGGAGAGGAGGAGGAGGAGGAGGAGGAGGAAGGGACGGAAAGTTGACGGGGCGATGTCGACATTTCTTCAGTGACACTCGAAGAGAGCAATGGGCTCAGGAGAGGAAGACTTGCTTTGCAAAAACCTCCTTGCCATTTTACGAAAAACAGCTGAAAGAGAAAATATTTCATCAACACAACAATGCCGAGGATGTTCCTTTCCTAGCTTTGCACGTCTTAAAAAAGAAATTGGTATCTGTGTTACAAGTTCACAAAAAGTTCTGCCGGTAGATCGCAGGTTGCCAGGCACAATCTCGAAAGTAGGTGAGTAGATTGTAAAGCAGATCTCAGAAGGCCTCAAGAGAAGCTCTCCGGAAAAATGCCTTAATGTCATTGGTAGACGAGCTCTGGCAGATCAACAATAGACTCTCTTTAGTCACTACATACGAGGTCCGGTCCTGTTATGAATCTGAGATAATAGTAACACATGTCACAATCATGGCACTGGCATTGGGACTCTTAAAAATGAAGAAAAATCCTTTGCATTGTGCAGTTTACTTAGATAATACTGCTCCAAATATACCAGATATGGTTTACTTAAAAAGAAAAAGGCCCTTGAAATAGATCAGTGCTTTGCATTAATACATTTAGATTTTTTTTAAAGTAAGTAAAATAAAACTCAAAGCTTTACATCAGAAGATCTTATCACTCCGTCTTTTCACCACCCTCACAAATCACCAAACCACAATCATTTCAAGCCAGTTTCCACCATAGCTGTCATTGGCCACTAGGTGTCAGCACAGTACACGTTATTCTTTCCTAGTGCTTCCATAGTCAATAACTAAACAATGTGTTTTGTAGTCTGTCTGTGGTTTCCTGAGGTCTTCAGGTTGTCTGTCCCCTTTTTGTGTTGAAAAGCACACTATTGAGGAATATAAATGAATATTACAGCATTTTTATACTTAATTCCATCATTCATTCGACCCGTTTATTAATGTCCGCCATTCAGTGTTTCTCCATTCTGTATTTCAGTCCCTGAACTTGTTTCTCGTGTGAAACAAAACTCCAACAACAACACAAACAATATTCATTTGACACTGTTTTTTAATATTTGCAGATTTGTGCTTCTGTTTCCAACCTTTCTTCAACAAAAAGGGCTTTCCGACTCCTTCCGAATTAGAAGAGCATGATGGTTAAAAAAAAAGAAAAAAAAAAGAGTCCCCCTGCTTTGCCAGTCCTGATAGAGAGGAGATTATTGGTTGAGGACTTTCAGCTTGTTGCTGCTTTACCCTCAGTGCCCTATTGCATTTCGGGTAATGCGTAGAACGTGTGGAAAACGTAGGACTTTGCGTCAAATGCAACCTAAAGTCGAGTCCGCTCAAGTGTTTGAGTGCACTCAGAGTAGACCGTCTAATATCACAGCATGAGACAAACTGTAGGGACTCTTGTGGAAATGCCCCATCCACCCCCTTTTTTGCCCTGCCCCACCCTCTACTCACTCCCCCGTGCTCTCATTCAGACACGCCACACAAAAAAACAAAAAACATGCTGTACAGTCGAGTCACTTTTGGAACTGTTACCCAGCCACCTAAAGGACACAACCTTTTCCTTACATGACATCACGCTGCCTTTTGCCATAAATGAGGACTCAAGGACTAGAGGTGCCAAGTTGTTGTTCTTTTTTTGTTTGTTTGTTGTTGTTGTTTTTTTCCTTTTAGATTTTCCTCGATTCATTTGGTCTGTTTTTATTTGACTCGCTCTCCTTTTCCAGGACGTTTTGAAGTACTGAATGGATGTTGAAAATGTGATCTAAAGGTATTAGCGCAGAGGTATTTTAGATTAAAGCAGTTTGGGGTAAATTTTATGAAGGCCTTCATAAAAACTAGTGTAGATCGTCAGGGTGTTGAGGTAATACAGAGGCATAATATACGAAAAACAAATGAAACTGGGTTGCACCGACTTGTATGAATGTAGTTAAACTTAACAGTTATTTTCCTTTTATTTATTTTTAATTTATTGGGTTGGGTTTTTTTTTTTTTTTGGTTTTTTTTTGCAGATTCAGTTTTAATTTATTTTTTAATTTCTTTTCATTTTCCTCGGTTTAGGTTTGGTACAGAGATTATGAACTCTTGCATAATCGCTTTTCTATCATGAATGGATTGACAAAAATATAGACTGCTGTATATCTTGTATTGTATTTTATTTACAATGGTACTCTATAAAAAGTACATACATATAAGGAATATATGAAATAACTGTCCATCCTATATTTTGTGGGAACTGCAATGTTTGGCTCAATCTGTTGAATATTTTGAAGTGACTTTGTGACTTGCTTTGTATGGTGTCTGTATAGAAGCTAAACAAGTCATCATAAAAAAAAATAAAATGTTGGAAAAAAATATAAACGCCAGAGTTGGTTTACTTGAACTCAGACTACCTCTTTTCCATTGGTGACTGGACATCTCTCATGTTCTGAGTGAGACCATACACACTCATGTCTGTCCCTACCTGTACCTCATCTCTTTATTTGTGTTGGGGTGGGAAGGTTATGATTAAACTGTTTCATGTCAAGTTTCAGTCGCTGTACCACTGGGTTTTTTTCCCCCCTCTCCACAGGCATTCCCGGGAGTTTTAATGCTGATGTATTTTAACTTCTCTGACACTTAAATTGTCTGACTTTGGCAGATTGATTTTGTGTCCTTCTAGGTTTTGCAGGCTGGAGGCTGGAGGAAGAAATACTACCAAAGCCTTTTTTTTTAATAGAAAAAAAGAGAGAAAGAAAAATAACCACTCTCCTTTCTTTCCTTTCTAACCTGTTATGACGTTTAACATATTGATTGTGCTATACAAGCACTTATTATTTGACTATGTGAAAGGCACAGCTGATGCTGCAGTGGGTACAGCAGCAGGTGGTCTGCAGGTCCACTAAGGGCCCGCTCTGGGTCTCAGACAGAGGGAAGGATCTACCGAAGGGTTTCAGGGCTGAGTCATGACTCAATGTGTGGTCGTCTCTGGTCTCCTCTGTGTTGAGATGTGTCCAGTGTGGTCTTGGTTTGGTCTCTATTTTTCTTTAAATTTCTTATTTTCATTTTTTTTGACTTGCACGTCGGTGTTAATGCTGTTTGTTCCGCTGGTCTGCTTGTCTGTTAATTTGAAGCTTCTTTTGAGACTATTTTTTATTTTGCAACGCTTAGTTTACAGCAAATGTTCCAAACACCCTCTGACCCTCAGTCTCTTGCCCTCACGCACACACGCCCCAACACGCACGACCCCACCCAAATTCTCCTCATACCCCCACGGCTCCCATCTCGTGCTCTGTGCGTCGCTTCGGTGTCTGACTGACTTTCTTGTTTCCTTGCAGTCACGGAAAGCCAGTGAACAAGCAAAGAGCGTTGACAGTAAAACAGACAGCATAGGCAGTGGAAGGGCCATACCTATCAAACAGGTAAGCAGTCTTACTAACCTTTTTTTTTTTTTAACTACATTTCCCACAGTTCCTGTGGTAAGTATGGCTTCTTTGGTCTGAGTAGAGGTTTAAAGTAATTTTATATTCAGTGATTTTGGAGAAAGGCCATATGTTACAAAATCCACTAGATGGCAGCACAACCCAATGTAACAAATGCTTTACAAGCAGGCACCACTACCACTGTGATATGGAAGTCACACACACACACACACACACACACACACACACACACACACACACACACACACACACACACACA